TGGGGTCTGTTACTACTGGGGATTTGGACTCGGTCCATCCCGTTTGATGACTCTACTGTACTTTTGACTGAGACTTAATTAATATCATTATATTATGGGCTAGTTGCCATGTTTGGGGCCTTGTGCCGATCTGTAGAACCCTTAGGGGGCATTTGTATTGGTTGACCTCACTTTTCTTGTCGAAATCATACCCTCAGTCATGTTCTTAACTGATAAACATAATATTAACCAACTTTAGAAATTGTTAAATCCTAATGAGAGTAACGTGTGGGTTGAGAACCCCGTCTTATCTTAGTGTGCCCGAGAGGCCAAGTCTATATTGACTGAGAGGGGTCGAGAACCCCACTGTGAGGGTATTTGATATGCTATAGATCGGGCTGCACGCCGCAGCAGTATATATATTTATGCGGATCGGACTGCACGCCGCAGTAGTATATTATATGGATCGGACTGCGCGCTGCAGTAGTATATTATATGGATCGGACTGCACGCCGCAGTGGTATATTATATGGATCGGACTGCGCGCCGCAGTAGTATATTATATGGATCGGACTGCACGCCGCAGTAGTATAGCGCTTGGGCTAAAAGAGCCCCTCCGGAGTCTGCACACCCCCAGTGAGGCAGTCGATTATTCTTGGATCGGGATACACGCCGCAGCAGTATATATATATATANTATCCATTACTACAGAGTTATAATCATGTTAATTTGGCATTAAATCCTATTAATTGGTAATGAATTCTATACAAGGGATTGTGAGTGGCGAATTGGTCGGGCTTGCCTAGCATCGTGTTGGGCGCCATCACGACTGGGGATTGGGGTCGTGACAATGTCTTTCTTTGTTAATGTGAACTTGCTATCATTTTGGGAATTGGTGAGGGAAAAGGACCAGAATGCTTCAAATGTGACCCTGCTGGTGGTTTTTGTGGTCATTAGTTATCTTCTGAGCTTAATTTCCTTTTCAAGGTAAAAACTGATTTGAATTTGTTCTTGTTTATAACTAGCTTTCTGGTTTACTGCCTTCCACTATGATGGTTATAAGAAGGGTACTATCCTGGTTCATGAAGTTAACTGTGGTTGTTGCCCCTCGCCATTGTATCCTTATCAGCTTCGTTGATGTATAAATGCATGTCAGACTAAGAAAATGGATAAGTTAAGATTTTCAAGAATAAATGTAGTTCTTTGCTATATCATCTATTTTATTACACAAATCTCAAATTTGGAAGGTTGCCTCATCTTTTAGATCCTAATTGACTATGATGCAAGTTGGTCAAGATTGGACCCTTTCGACTCTGTTACAGTCTGATCTATTGTGAAGTTAATGTAAATACATCTTAGGCATTGTTTGTTTAGACTGGAGAAGCTACACTAGAACCAATAACTCCTTTGAAAAGAAAAGAAAATTTGAAAATGTTTTTCCCTTTTCAATATATTTACTTTGACATTGATATTTATGTTAACAGGTTATACTAGATAATGAGGATTATTAATTGTTATTTCCTGTTAGCTGTAGCTGTAGATCTCTCTCTCTCTCTACACACACAATATATATATCTGTTTTGCTGTTGTTATTGTTAAGTGGTTGGCATGTATATGTTTCTGGTTGTTCTCTGCCATTTTTATCACTCAGTATGTCGTAGATTATCTTTCTCATCTTCTATTTTTAGGTGGGAAAAATCCTGGTAGGGAGCACTTCCCATATGATAGGCCTTGAGCAACACGAATCCGGAAGCAACACGAATCCGGATTAGTCGGAGCTCTAATGCGGGTACAAAACAATGGTTGGAAATCAAAAAAGAAAAAGGACCCTCTTATGTTTAGGTGAATTTTTGTTTTTTGGTTGTATGCGCTTGATCTCCTGGGTGTTCGAGTAATGCCTTTTCCTCTTGTTTTTGTTCACTCTTTCCATTCACTATTATGTCGTGAGTAGTTCTTAATTTCTTATACTCATAGTAATGTTAGCCTGATTGAAATTTCAAATGTAACGCGGTCTTATGTGGGCAGAGATTGCACAACTATGCTGTCGAATTCGTCTACACCAACAGAGAATTGTTCACTTACCCTGACTTCAAGTTTATCTTAAGACAACTCTGTTCCTAGAACCATGCCTTCTGACTATTTTGGTACGACAAGAAGTTGTAAATCCTTACACAAATATACTTTGTTGCAAAACCATTCAATATGCTTCCCTTGCTGCCAAAACATCAAGTACAGTTGAGTTTACAACAATAGACATAAGCTAGTTGCACAGTTTTGCTGCTACAATTCTAAGAGTAGCCAAAATTTATTTAAAATCCAATCTTGCATTCTCTTTTTGGGGCTTGCACTATCCTTGTTTATGACAAATGCGCCAGCTTAGCAGTATGCTTTGAGCAAGAACGAATTCAATTTTGGTATACACTAAAAAAGGGCAGCCCGGTGCACGTAAGCTCCTGCTATTCGCGGGGTCCAGGGAAGGGCCGGACCATAAAGGGTCTGTTGTACGCAACCTTACCTGCATTTCCGCAAGAGGCTGTTTCCACGGCTCGAACCCGTAACCTCCTCATCACATGGCAGCAACTTTACCAGTTTTTGTATACACTAACAAAATCTCAAAACAGATAATTGCACAGTTGCTAGAACTGTTTCCTGCTACCAAGAGACAAGGCCTTCTTCAACAGTGCTTCGCGCCCAGGAAAACGACTTCCAGTATTTGATACAGAATGGTCTTTGTTGATTGTATTATAATCAGTATGATTCTCAGGATTCTGTAAATTTCTTATTCTTTCTGTCATAGTTGAAGATTGCAACCGCGAGCCAGAATCATTCTTTTTCCTCTGTAACCTTATCCGTTCCCGTCTTCTCTCCCTGCTGTCTTTTTCACCTTCTCCAGTTTCCTCCTCCTGAGCTGTTCCCTTTAAATTGGTGTTCTTAGTTGGAGAATCAGAAAGTCTTGGTATTCGACCGCCTTTGGATGTACCAAGTAATTCATAATCAATTTTGCTCCAACCCAACTTATCTTCATTGTCCCAACCAAATCTTGTGCTGATTTCCAGCAACTCAGAAACTGCACTCTGCGTGCTTGCTGAAACGTCCCCGTTCAGGAGATTCTGAGCAAACTCCCACTCAATTCGGTCCTTATACACAGAGTCAGAAAGGACTTCATCTGCGAGCTTGGCCCACTCTTCAAAATCGCGAGCTCGAAGATTTTTGGAAACCCATTTGAGGTATTTAGATGGGAGTGTACCCAGCATTTTACCTTTGTATTTTCCAAAATCTATCACTCTGTCTCGTGCTGGAATTTGTCTGGGACTAGTTGCTCTTGAACCTGCTGAAATTGTGAAAGAATTAATGCTCCTCCTCAAGGTCGAAGATTTCGAAGAAGGGAGAAAAGAAGAATAGGAACCTATCTGAAAACGTGAAATTGTAGAGAAGTAGACATTGAATGAGCGCTGTGGAATTGGATGAAAGTGAGGAAGATTCATGTCTGACTTTGGGAGAGACTGGCGGCGAAATAATAATCCAAATTTGGAGTGAGATATAGCAAACAGCTGGGAAACCAAGGGGATGTTTTCTTCCTTTTATTGTTCGTTAACTATGGAGTAAGAACCACAAAGGGTGTGGCGTAGAGGACGGTGTTGCTCCTAGTTAACCAAAAGGTTAATACTTGGTAATGAAATAATACTTGGTAGGTTTTCTCCCGATACGCGGCGCGAATTCGGATATAGTCGAACTTCAATACGGATACCAAACACCGGGTGGAAAAACAAAAGAAAAAGACTATGGAGTAAGAAATGATATGTTAAAAGTAAATTTTAGAGAAATTTATATGTTACTTGAAGTGTAATACGAGTAATCCAGTAGTCTCAAATTTTATTTTACTTTTGTGACCTCGAAACTCGAATGATCAATAAATTGATAAAACTCGCTTATAGTTTGTTTGGATGGTTATCACCTATTGTATTGCATGGTCTTGTTATTTTAAATGCAATATTTATTTTAATTATTAATTAAATTTTATTATATCAATTTGATCGCATCGTTAGTCGTTATCTTATTTTTTTCTATCATCTTCTCCTTTCTCATTATTAAATAATCCTATTTTATCTTTTACCCGACTTTTTTATATAAGTCTACCCAATAGCTTACTTTTTCTTTGTAATAGTATAATTTTATTCATTGTTGTGCGTGATATCATGAAACGACATCAAATGATACAATCTGTACAAATGTTATATTCATCAAAACAATACAACACAATATAATACAATATGATACATTATACAACGATATACAACAACCATCCAAACAAGCTATTTAATCAACTTTTTCTTTTCTCTTTCAATTTTACCATATATAGTTATTAATTCTTGTTATTTCTTCTATTTCATTAACCTCAATTTATTTGGAGCTTTTCAAATTAAGCAATTTTGTCAACAACAAAAAAAAGTAACTAGTTGCATACTATTATAACTTTGGATGGAACCAATAGCACCGCGAGCCGAAACTTTTTTGATGTTTTTTTGGATATAAAGTACGTTTCTAATGCTAAAAAAAAGAAGTTACATAACTAGGTAAAACGCAGTACTATACTGCGTTTTACTTTAACGGAAAGTTAGCTGTTAAAGTAAAATGCAGTACAGTACTGCGTTTCACTTATTAATGCCCAGTTCTGAAGGAATGCAGTTTTTTTTTTGTAAAACACAGTATACTGCGTTTTACACTGAAACGTACTATTATACTGCATTTTACTCTTTTTGGCCCCACCAATAATTAACTGACATAACAATAATTTAAATACATAAAATCTAGTATTGTACTGCATTTTACATAGAAAAATTCTACACCCCAAGCTCGGACTTGCCTTATTTAAAGGCGTTTCAATTTTATGAAAATCCATTCAATACTTTACTTATGTTCATACTTCTCTCTTCTTCTTATCAATCATTTTTTTACAATGTCTGAAGTGCCAAAAATAAGGGTTTCACTATATTAGAGGGGGGTAAGGTTGTGCTGGAGAATAACTCTGTGAGGTATAGCTCACCTCCACAGTGTCATGTTAAATTGCCNAATAATTATATATGGGTTCCAGGCTCTATATTTGAGGCCCGGTAGCACCAAGTTATCTTTAATTATTATGCGTGTCAATTTCAACATTTTTAGAATTTTGTTAGCTTAATAAATTAAATANNGATGATGAAACTCTTAGAGATTTTTTGCGGATTCCGGATGAATACAGGGAATTTATTGTAATAAAATTATTGGAAACGTACGTCAAGGTGGAAGACGCTCCCAATAATGAGGGCGTACATAGTAGGGATAACCCTCAGTCATCGGGTGGTTATTCTGGAGCAGTTTTTGCCGGACAGATTACTGATGAAAGAGTTTGCCTTGATTTAAACTTGTCACCACCGGCGAATGAGCAGCCACAAAATAATTTTTCGACTTTATATAATCAACAAGACGACTGGTAAACTTCAATTTTACTACGCTTTAGCAATGTCTATTTTATGTTTTAATTGGATTTGTATTAACACTCATATTTTTCATAGGGGGTATCGTCCGGATATGAATTTTACAAGTTATGACCCCGCCCCTAGTTGGAATATGCGTAGTTCTGGAGTATTGGACCACGATGGTCCATCCGAGAGTCATCACCAACAAGAAAATATCCATCATGAAACGTCAAGGCAGTACGACTTGTAAGTAAAGTGATATAACTATATCTAAAGTATTTATCTAGTTGGGTAACTTATCATTTTGTTCTTTTTGTGTAGTGAAAACGAGCTTCTTGAAGCTCCTGACCTCACACAGTTGCCCATAGACGACGTATTTACTCGTGATTTGGCAGATGCGCAGAGTCAGGAAGATGATAGTGATTATGACAACAATGCAGATGAGTCTGGGGATGACACACCCTTCCATGATGAGGGTGATGAGGAGGAGGAAGTGAATGTTGAACCTGAGCTGACGAGGGAGCATGTTCCTCCACCTCCCGCTAGACCAAGAGTGTACGAGTCCCACGTGCCATTTCATGAGTGGAATATTTCCTACCTTGATAATTTGCCAAGCATGCCGAACGTGGATGCCCTCACAAGGGATGATGATGAATTTCGGTCAGCAATGTGGAAAGGATGCTCCACGATGAACTCCCACAAATCGTCAGGTCTCCTGGGGCGGAGAGCCTGCATCAATAACTGTCCTTCCCATACAAAGGAGGACCTATAGTCGCCCTGCAATACTAGTAGCTGATCCTTGACAGGTCGAGGATGCGGAGGCGGATGAAAGTCCATGTCGTCTACTATAATTTAAACAAAATTAATTGTGTGTGTTAGTTTAAGGAATTAAATAATTAATTATGTTTAATATTGGACTGAATAATTATGTATGGGTTCCAGGCTCGATATTTGAGGCCCGGTAGCACCATATTATCCTTAATTATTATGTGTGTCAATTTCAACATTTTTAGAAGTTTGTTAGCTTAATAAATTAAATAATTAATTATGTTTAAAATTGGACTGAATAATTATGTATGGGTTCCAGGCTCGATATTTGAGGCCCGGTAGCACCGAGTTATCCTTAATTATTATGCGTGTTAATTTCAACATTTTTAGAATTGTGTGTGTTAGCTTAATAAATTAAATAATTAATTATGTTTAAAATTGGACTGAATAATTATGTATGGGTTCCAGGCTCGATATTTGAGGCCCGGTAGCACCGAGTTATCCTTAATTATTATGCGTGTTAATTTCAACATTTTTAGAATTGTGTGTGTTAGCTTAATAAATTAAATAATTAATTATGTTTAAAATTGGACTGAATAATTATGTATGGGTTCCAGGCTCGATATTTGAGGCCCTGTAGCACCGAGTTATCCTTAATTATTATGCGTGTTAATTTCAACATTTTTAGAATTGTGTTTGTTAGCTTAATAAATTAAATAATTAATTATGTTTAAAATTGGACTGAATAATTATGTATGAGTTCCAGGCTCGATATTTGAGTTAATTTTACAACATATATTAATTTGTTACTTTTGTAAGTTTATTGTTATAAATTAAATAATTAATTTTGTAAAGTGTAATTGGATAGAGTTTGCAGTTACTACATACTTAAACTACATAGACTCTACGCTAAAAGGTTCTACATTTTACTACGCTAAAATGCTCTATATTTTACTACGCTAAAAGGCTCTATATTTTACTACACTAACAAGCTCTATATTTTACTACACTAAAAGGCTCTATATTTTATTACGCTAAAATGCTATTTATTTTACTACGCTAAAAGGTCACTATTACATATAAAAACAACTAACATAAAATACAAATATGAACAACAAACAAAATAAATAATATTAATTTTTTATTTAACCAAATAAAAACATAACATTAACAATATAATAATTTATCAAATTTTAACAATTTTTTGTATCAAAGCTAATAAATCAATCCGGGTATAAATAAGATACAAATTTAAACACAAACATAACACAAATTAACATGGAAACACATTAAACAATACAAATATGCATGTACTATACGAGTTTCGACATAAACAAAATTGAAATACCTCGATTTAAGTTTTTTGAATTTGATTGAAATCGAATTTTTGCACCCGAAAGAAGGAATCCAAAGCTTGTCTTGTGTGGGACCTACACTCCTTGCTTTTTAGGTGACGGGTGGGGCCCAAATTTTTTTTTTACTTTGACACGGGAGGGGGGGACCAACAGTGCTCGAAATTTTTTTAATGGGGGAGTCTCGGTTCTGTCGTTGTCCAAGGAAGAATGAGCTTTATTTTATTAAAGCAATTCGCAGTACTATACTGCGTTTAACTAAAACGCAGTATAGTACTGGGAATTGCTTTAATAAAATATAGCTGGCCCAAATTAATAAGTGAAACGCAGTACTGTACTGCGTTAAAGTAAAACACAGTACAGTACTGGGAATTAGTTAAAAAAATAATTTTTAAATAATACGCAGTACTATACTGCGTTTTACTTTAACGACTAACTTTCCGTTAAAGTAAAATGCAGTATACCTAGTTATGTAACTATTTTTTTAGCATTAGAAACATGTTTTTTGTCCAAAAAAGCATCAAAAAAGTTTCGGACCATTTCCTAATCCTCAAATTTAAATTAAGCCATATATTATTTTTCTTTACGTAATTGGTTGCAAATGTCTCTTCGAGGATATTCCATAGGATTGATTGACCAAATAGAAAAACGTCAAGGACCAAAACAGAAAAAGCATTATAAAAAAGGACCTATGTGCAATTTTGACTTCCATCTCAAGCTCCAACTCCTCTGTCTGATTCAGTGACTGCAGTCACTAGTATTAGCAACCAGCAACCAATATTGTCCAGACGTAGGTAAGAGCCAAGAATTTGCTTTCGTCCTCTTTTGACTTTTATTCTGTGTATAATCCAATTAGATTCAATAAAATCAATATGGGAATTTTAGCGTACAATTTCAATGTTGTATCCCCGAATTTTGTCCTTCAAAAAAGACCACTTTTCTCAGAATTTTCACTACCACAGGTGCGCGTCAATCCTTCTCGCAGGCGCAACATCACATTCAGAGTTGCTTTTAATATGGCACAAAACCCAGGTGACAATTTTTAGCTTGCTTTTATTGGAAAAAAAAAACAGAATTACAATATGAAGAAAAATGCTTATTTATGATAGTTTTTGAGTTTCATTACATATGATCTATAATTACTACGGAAAAAGTGGCCCTTTGTTTGCAAACAGCTCTATGCTGTTGTGTTGTAGCTATTGCAGAATTATCTGCAG